AAGAGTGAAGGAAAACCAGTAGGGAAAAAAAGTAAAGTGAATGCCAAAACAAAGAATGAAAAGATGATAAAGAGGTCGAAACAAAGAAATGGGAGGAAGAGGAAGAGGAAGGAAAACCAGGAAGAAAAAAAAGTAAATAAAAAAACAAAGAATGAAAAGATGATAAAGAAGAGGTCAAAAAAGAAGGGAGGAAGAGGAAGAGGAAGGAAAACCAGCAAGAAAAAAAGTAAAATACAAAAAAAAAAAGAATGAAAAGATGATAAAGAGGTCAAAATAAAGAATGAGGAGGAAGAGGAAGAAGAAGAAGGGAGAAGAAGAGGAAGAAGGGAGATACGGTGGGGCGAAGGATTTGAGTTCGCGGCCGTTAGAATGCGTAGCCACGGCGCTGACCATTTGAAGGGGGTCGCGGGGGGGGGGGGGGGTTGCAAAGGCGGCGGTTTGTAGTTCTTCCTTCTTTTCTGCTTCCTCTTCCTCTCTTTCTACTCTTTTTTTCGTCTTTTTTTTTTTTTTTCTTTTTGCTTGGTGTCTTTTTCTTTGTTGTTCTTTTCTTTTTGATTATCCTTTCTTCTTCATTCTTTCTTCTTGTTCGTTTTATTCTCTCTCCCTCCTCCTCCTCTCCTTTTCTTTTCTTTTCGCCTTTCTTATCATTTTTTCTCTCCTCCTCACCCTTTCCCATCTCATCCTCTCCTCCTTTTTACCCTTTTCTCCGCCACCTTCTCTTCTCTTCCTCTTCTTCTTCTTCTTCTCCTTTCTCCTCCTCCTCCCTCATCTCTCTCCTTCCCTCCCTACTCACTTTCCCACACTCCTTTTACTTACTTCTCGCTCTCTTCCTCTTCTTCTTCTTTTGGCGTTCTTTCACTTTCGTTGTTTTCCCTTTCTTCCTCTTCTTCCCTTCTCTTTTCTTCTCTTTTCCCACTCGTTCCATTTTCCGTGTGAAAATTTTCGTCGCGGAGCTTTTCTGAGTGAGGTCGGTTGCGTGCTGAGCGGTGAGTGCGAGGCTGGCGGGTTAGCGCTGCAGTGCGCACGGTCTGCCTGCCTGCACCCAACTCACGGGTGCGCGGGGAACAGTCAGGGTGGGTTTTGTTGGAGGGCGAGCATGTGGCAGGTAGTGGCAGGTAATGGTTGTTTTGACAGTTGGGGGCGTCTTCTCCGTTATGAGATTCGGTGCTGAGGCCCGAGGGGAAGGTCGCGTTTGACGAAGGAGGATGGGAGGAGGAAGAAGAAGAAGAGAAGAAGAAGAATGAAGAAGAAGAAAAAGAAGACGAAGAAGAAATAGGAAGGAGGAGGAGAAGAAATAGGAAGAATGGGAGGTGGGGTGGGGGTATGAATATATATAGGTGCGTCCGATTCGTTAGATCGAGTTGCCGATTGTGGATTATTGTTTCTATTCAAATATAATTCTTCGCGAGTCGGCATGACCGGTTTTGGTGCGGACGGGACATTGATCTCCCGAACAACGGGCGCTGAGGGGCTGGTCCGTTGTGGCGGCGGCGGCGGGTCGGGTCTGGTTGTGCTGCGCTGCTGCTGCTGGGGGAGTCTCGCGGCTTGGAACATGCGTTATGCCGTTTGGGGGGGGGGGGGGGGGGTCTTGGTCTGTCCTTTTCTGTTCTCTGTTTCTCTTCTGCCTCTTCTGTCTATTCTTTTTCTGTCTCTGTGCTTCTTCCTCTCTCTTCATCCCAGTTAATCCTCGCTCTCTCT